AAGGCAGAGGCTTTAACCCACTGAGCCACCCAGGCGCCCCTCAAGCTTGTCTTTATACTTATTTTGTATTGTACAACACTTGTTCCAATAACATGTATTTTGCACTAAAAAACCTAATAAAATTAAAACTCAGTAAAGATAGTCTCAAAAAGATAGTATGTTCGTCCAGATAGGTCTCCTAAGGGAAGGGAAATGAAGCAAAAATGAACTACTGGGACTTCATCAAAATAAAAAGCTTCTGCACAGCGAAGGAAACAATCAACAAAGCTAAAAGGGAGCCTACGGAATAGAAGATATTTGCAAATAACGTATCTGATATAAAGGGTTACTATCCAAAGTATATAAAGACTTAATCAAACTCACACAAAAACCAAATAATCCAATTAAAAAATGGGCAGAAGACATGAACATTTTTCCAAAGAAGACATCCAGATGGCCAACAGACACATGAAAAGATGCTCAACATCATTCAACATCAGGGAAATGCAAATCAAAACTACATGAGATCTCAACTCACACCTGGCAGGATGGCTGAAATCAACAACACAGGAACCAACAGGTGTTGGCGAGGATGTGGAGAAAGGGGAACCCTCTTGTACTGTTGGTGGGAATGCAAGCTGGTATAGCCACTGTGAAGAATAGCATGGAGGTTCCTCAAAAAGTTGAAAATAGAGCTACCTACGATCCAGCAATTGCACTACTAGGTATTTAGTCAAAGAACACAAAAACACTAATGCAAAGGGATACCTGCATCCCAATGTTTATAGCAGGATTATTTATACAATAGCCAATGTATGGAAGCAACCCAAGTGTCCATCAACTGACGGATGGATAAAGATGTGTGTGTGTGTGTGTGTGTGTAGAGTAGAATATTATTCAGCCATAAAACGATGCACCCTTGCCATTTACAATGACAGCGATGGAGCTAGAGAGTGCTATGCTGAGTGGAATGAGTCAGTCAGAGAAAGACAAAGACCATATGACTTCACTCATGTGGAATTTAGGAAACAAGCAAATGAGCAAAGTGGGGGGGGTGGAGAGAGACAAACCAAGAAACAGTCTTAACTCTAGGGAACACACTGATGGCTACCAGAGGGGTGGGGGATGGGGGAAACAGGTGGTGGGGATTAAGGAGGGCACGTGTCATGATGAGCACCAGGTGATGTATGGAAGTGTTGTAGGCCTGAAAGTAGTATTACACTGTATGTTAACTGGAATTTAAATAAAGCTTTTTAAAAAAGAAAAAAGAAGGTAGTATGTTCTAGGTAATGGGATTGAAAAAAGAAGGCAGTTTACTTTCTTCCCAGTACCATTCTGAATTTTCCATATTCTCTCCCAAAAGAATGTGCATTAAAAAATTTTTAAAGACAACTGGTAGATAGGGAAATAGTTGATGCTTGAAATGAAAATTCCTTAACTTAGAACCGATGCTATGGTAACAAGACAGATAAAAGATTTACATGTACGGACGAGGACCGGAAGATGAACAAAGATGAACTCCTTGAATAAAGCAAGTAGCATTGTGGGTGATCATTTTTCTAAATTTTGTTACAAAAATATGTAATAAAAGTAACTTGCAAAGTTATCAGCTTTAAATGTAAGTAAATTATTCCTTGAAAAGTTGTTTTTCTGAAGAAAAACTAAAGCATACCGTACCAGAAGAAACAGGAACTAAACCTTTTTTTTAATTTTTTAATTTTTATTTTTTTAAAAAGATTTTATTTATTTGACAGAGAGCGAGAGAGGGAACACAAGCAGGGGGATAGGAGTGGGAGAAGCAGGCGCCCCAATGAGCAGGGAGCCCGATGCGGGACTCGATCCCAGGATCCTGGCCCGAGCCAAAGGAAGACGCTTACCTACTGAGCCACCCAGGTGCCCCTAAACCTTTTTTTAAAGATTTATTTGAGAGAGAGACCAGGGGGCGGGGGCCGGGGGGAAGGTGCAGAGGCAGAGTCTTGAGCAGACTCTGCACTTAACACAGAGCCCGAGGTGTAACTTGATCTGACCCAGAGATCACCTGAGCCAAAACCAAGAGTCGGACGCCCAACCAACTGCACCATGCCGGCACGCCAGGAACTAAACCTTTAAAAGTCTGTCACAACCACCACCTCAAGGGGGGACAAATAGAAGTGAATTGCGGAAAAACAGCAAATATTTAAGGCTACAGTAAAAACCTCACGTTTTGCCATTGGGCTAATGGCAGGGGGCAACCCGGAATTGGATTTACCCTTACTATTTTACGAAGATGGCAGGAGGGAAGCCTTCTCCGCCTTCCCTGAGTCCTGGCCTGGGAGGGCTGGCAAGGATACCGCAGCCATTCTCTCCCACTTGCTCCATTTCTCTTGTGGGAGACCGAGTGCTCTCAATGGCTCAGAGGGACTTCGAGTGACTGGCTGCATCAGTCAAGGCCTCAACTAGGGGGAGAGAGATTTGGCTTCTGGGTCTCCCAATTCAACTTTACTAGAAGTCTCACATTCAACTGGTGGTTCCTATTTCCAATGTGGTTAGAACCCAAAGAGGAGAACGGGTGGAATTAGAACCCGCAAAACCCCAACGGATGTCTGTGCCATACCTCTCCTTATTTCAAAGCAGCTCAGACAAAAAGAAATGGCTTCTGAATTTAAAGCCAAGCATGACCATACAGGAAAAGCAGAAACCTGCCTCTCTTAGAAGGCAAAATAACGTAGGTCTTGTTAACTATTCTGTTTTCATCAATGCGTTCGGATATTTCTGTGATAATTCACATCATGAAAGAAGAAATGCCATCTAAAATTCCTTCGCAGGTTTTCTGTAGCAAAGTATCATCACGGCGGCTTTACTCTAGCAGCAGGTCACAACGCCAAATCCTTTGTGCTCACCAATACCAGCAAAACAAGTAACACGAGCCCAAAGGAATGGGAAAATCTAAATAAGGTAATTCTTTTTTTTTTTTTAAGATTTTATTTATTCACTTGACAGAGATCACAAGTAGGCAGAGAGGCAGGCAGAGAGAGAGAAAAGCAGGCTCCCCGCCGAGCAGAGAGCCCGACGCGGGGCTCGATCCCAGGACCCCGGGATCATGACCTGAGCCGAAGGCAGAGGCTTTAACCCACTGAGCCACCCAGGCGCCCCTAAATAAGGTAATTCTTGACGTTGACCTCAAACTTGGCAAACTAAGAATTTCCCTCACAAGTCATGAAAATGATTTTAAAGTCAGAGTTAGGAGCAGATGCTAGTGATATTTCCACTGATGCTGGAAATGCTAGAAATGAAGGGATCACATCACCCAGTTTATACTTTGTTGGGGGTTTATTAACTTTGTGACTTCTTAAAGCGCTTCACTTCCGTGTGTCCGTGGGCGCATGTGTTTATGTGTGTGTTTGCATGCGTATGCCTTGTCTATAGCCAACACTCCACTAGGGTAACTTAAAACAAAATAGGAATTTATTTACAATAGCAAAGATGTCAAAAGTAACAGAAACGATATGTAACAAATGCAAGACTTATTTCATCAAAAAGGCAAACAATATGTACACACGAAAGAAAACAGAATCCAAAAGGGCAAACTTAATTTTTACTTGATCTGAAGAGCTGCGGAATGTGGCAAAATGATTTTTTAGATATGGATTACATAAGTAATGACGGGCCAATCAAAGACACTTTTCAGCTTTTCTCCTTTACCTGCTGACTTCCTCTGAATCCTATTAACCTCTGGGGAATGTAACTTAGAGGAGGCCATTCAAGACTGATGAAATACAGGCCACTTAATGTATACTAGAAAGGATACGCTTATTGTCTGGAGGGCTCACACTTTAAAAAAAGGTAAACCAAAGGTGTTAACTAAGTCCCATTTCACCCTCACAGCTTATTTCTGGGGTTGTGTGTGTGTGTGAGAGACAGAGAGAGAGAGAGAAAGATTTTCTTGTCTACCACACAAAATGCTGCACCAGTGATCTTTTCGGTTCCCCTGGTGCTCTGAAACAGTTTCCCAAACCTGTGCGAGCATCAGAAGCCCGCGGAGGACATGTTAAGACACAGATCACCTTGGTCTTGTGCCCAGCTGCCCGATTCGGTGGGTGAGGCGTGCGACCAAGCATTTTTTTCTTTAACCAAGTTCCAGGGGATGCTGCGGCTGCCACTGTTGCAGACCACACTGTGAAAACCACTGCTCTAAAATATCACCCTTTGAACGTTTGGACTAGTGCCACTTTTCCTTCACGGACCCTAGCATTTGTGGGCAACCAAACTGTTAATACCGAGATTCCCAGAGAACAGAACCGGACCTTACCTGCCTGCCTGGGATCTGAGCAGTAAGAGGCTGTCTACCAGGCATTCTGTTACAATGAAGGGTTTCACATGCTCCGTTTTGGTGTGGTTTATGGCTCTGGGCAGTGACACTCACCGTGTTCTCTTGACTGCTGACCCGAAGTTTTGATTATTTACTGTTTCAACTATTAGGCAAACACACACTTGTTCCTACATAGCTGAAGATCTGAGGATCTCATCTTTAAAAATCAAAGATGGCTCAGATCAAGGTTATTCTCTTTTGACTCCTGGTCACTTACCTAACTTCCGATTTTTCTAACTGTGGCCACACTCTAGCGTGTTAGCGTCTATGAATGAAAGCCCTCCAAATGTGGCCACAGAGGTGTCACTCTAGTGCGGGGCTTCTGCTGTGGAGGTGGGGACAACACCCCGTGATTAAGTGTGCTATGCAGTGATACCGAAATGAACCTTAAGTGTTCGCAGAAACCATTACACATGGCAAATTCGTCTCAGGGGAACTGGAGATGCTAATAAAACAAATCCCTTATGAAGATAAAAGGGAAAAAAGGAACTTCAAGGACATGCTCATCAAAGGACTCACCCATCATCTCTTAGGTTCTCTGATATATTACTTGTAAATTTGCAGGGCTGAACTATGAGGAGTATTTGCATCAAGTCACAAAATTCAAAGCAATCAAGCATTTTGCAATCCACTGCTGCATAAAAGGAATTAAGAAATGGGGAAATGAAAATAATCCACTGTTTTTGATGTTTATTAGGTTTTACAAAAACTGTACATTTTTTTCCTTAAGAAAAAGCATTAACTTAGTACTGGTATCAAATAGACTAAACATCCATTAACAGGAAAATATTCTGATTTTTATTTTTGCACGTTATTCTCAAGTACACAATTACAATAATGTCACACATCCCTATATGATTTTCTTTTTATGTATTTTACTTTTTTTTTTTTTACAAAGTGTACAGAGGGAGGGACATACAATATTTAATAGGATATTTCTACAGAACAATAACTTATATTATGTCCTTGTAAAAATCTGTACCTCTTTAAAACATTTAACTGAAACATCCATTTTTTTTTAGCTTTGCTAATCAAAATTGTTTTAAGAATTAAAACTAGGTTGTAACTAATGTCAGTACATAACAGTGACTACAATTTCATTTTCTCTTTATACAGACAAATACATTTCATCATATTCACTTGACCAAACCCTTAAATACCTTTTAAAGGTTTCAATATTGTGCTTTAAAAAGAAAGTACACTGTGTATGATTCCAGACTATGTAAGAGAAATATAAAGTGTGTAGAGTGTTGTGTTCTTTATCTTTCAGTTTATTTAAAAAAATATAGTTAAATGACCAATTATTTCTATTTTCTGTACTAATTTTACAGCATGTTTTAAAGTTAATAAATTTCCACTTTCATTTAAGTGTCTTCTTTTACATGATTTCTGGGGAAAAAAAAGAAGGGAGATTTTAAAGGTTCTCACAAAAAAACAGACAGAGCTTTCAAGGATAGTACTGCAGGGCAATGAATCACACAATTGTTTAAGTTATTAAAAAAAAAAAGAAAAGAAAAGCAGGTATGAGAGCCAAGAGGGCACAGGAGCTCCCACTAGGATAGGCCCATGCCTTGGCTTTAACTGGCATTCAGGTTGGAGTTCATACCAGCCTAAAGCACTAGATTTACAACTGGACGAAATCAACCTAGCACTTCAGAGGCTTGCCAACCACCAAATATTTAGATTTCTAACCCTATAAATATACTTCTCGAATACAAGTATCAATGGCAAAGAGAAAGATGAAAGGTCAAGACCTAACAGCACAGAGGGGATGCAGCACCATAATGAAGTGGCAAGGCAACTATCAAGTGGGAAGAAAATTCCTAAAATCTCCTACGATGTGCCAGATACTCATATGCTGACAGCCAATTTAAAGGACCCCAAAAATTGTTTTTCATTTTCCAAGATCCATCCTAACATAATCTAGTTCTCATTAACCAAGTTCATTTTATGCATTTCTGACTCTTGATTCAGAACTGCTTGTTTAAAAAATGTTGGCTCTCAAAGAAAAACAAAACTGTGAAAGACTTGGTGACGTTCCAAATAAGGCCTCCGCTTTTCCTCATGCACTTAGACACACCTTTATCTTCTAACCAAAGCCAATTTGAGCATTCAGTTTTTAAAAGTTTGCTAACTGTAACTAAGAAGTAACAGGGCAGGCTGAACCTGCCAAGTTTGAGTCATAATCAGCACCCGATCTCTGGGACACGGAGCTGTGGTTTCCTTAATCCCCCTTCACTGGGTGACGCAGGGTTCCCTCACGGGCTCCAGAGAGAACTGAGGGAGTTATGTCCAGATACTCATTAGCTTTTCAGAAAAATATAAAGGCATGGAGCTGAAGTTGTATGAAAACATTCTATCTAGAAACATCTTAACGTCTATTTTTTTCAATTACCAAAGATATTTAAAAGAAAATACCTTTACTCTTTAAAAATACTAGTGTCCTTATTTTCCTTCTAATTCTTCACCTGAGTAGTCTCTCTGAAGAGCATGATTCACAAAATGCTCTCGTGCATCCCTGCATCGTTCATGTTATTGTAAATTTAATACTTTTCATTATAGATCTTAACTACTACTGGGGTTGTGTGTATAAATATGTAAAATAAGCAATACACACAGATACATGTTCTCTATATATGTGCATATATATAATTCAGGGTACATTTACATATATAAAGTCGCAAAAGATCCTACGAGCCACGAATTACCTCTAGGAGATTCCAAAATGCAGTCCTCGATAATCTCATTTGTAGCACACAACCATTCCAAGACAAAGCAGCACAGACGGAATAATCAAAATACAACAGCATCAAGTAAAATTTGTCAAGGAAGTTTTTCTAAAAGTTTGCTATGCTGACAAAAGATGTCAATACACCAAAGAAAGCCCCCAAAGAAGTATAGTTTGTCTGCTAAACAAAACGGAAAGGAAACACGAACCCAGCCACTGTTCTCTCCTCAGCGATGCCAGGGACACAAAAGCTCAAATGGAAACTTTCATTGTCATGTGGTCTGAAAATAGTAAGTAATACGAGTAAATGACTTCCATGTTAGGATAATTAGAGCTGACTGTAAAAACCTCCCATTTATGTTAGTAGATGTCTCTGACAATTTTATTGTGAGAAATTTATGGGGGGGGGGAACTGAGTCAACATGAGTCCTTTCAGAGTTACCAATCTAAAGTTACCTTAACTTTAAGTTAAATGGTCTTAGAAGAGTACCATCAAGGTAAGCAAGGTAAATATTTAAATAAATATAAAACTTCTAAGATAGAAAAATTCAGTATAGAATCAGGGATTATTTTATTAAAAGCAACTTACTTGTTGCTGCTTTCCCCCATTTATTAAACAAACTGAATAGAATTCAGAACACACTATTAAACAAAATGTAAAAAAACAAAACAAAACAAAAAAAAAAACCAAAACCAAATGCAAAAACAAAAACAAAAAACGAAAAACCAACTCAACTAGAAGCAATAATTCTATTTGTACACGGCATAATCAATATACAGTATTGTATGTGAACGAGACCAATTGGCTCTAAAATGAAATTTCTGCTTCAAGGCCAACATCTCCACAAATGTCCGTAGCGGGATCGTTAGGGCAGGCCCACTTCTTTATGATGTCGCATTATGTGCTGGTTCTTTTCGGAAGGTCTGCGGAAGCCTTTCTTGCAGTACTCGCACCGGTGAGGATAGTCTTTCGTGTGGATGGAGATGACGTGCCGTTTAAAGCCCGAGGCGTCTGTAGTGCTATACTCACAGTACTCACACTGGTACACTTTCCTGCCACTGTGTGTCTTCATATGCTTTTTAAGCTCATTCTGTTGCCGAAATCCCTTTCTACATCTCTTACACCTAAACGGAAGATCTTTCGTGTGAACCGAGAGAATATGGCGACTTAGGACAAATGGATCTGCGATCTTAAAGTCACAATGTCTACACTGGTGCATTTTTTTACCCTTGTGGGCAGCCACGTGTTTCTTGAGTTCGGAAGGCCTGTGAAAGCCTTTATCACACATGTCACACTTATGGGGGTAGTCCTTCGTGTGAACCGAAATTATGTGTCGTTTCAAATCGCTTGAGTTCGAGCTCTTGTGGTCGCAGTGCAAACACTGGTGTGTTTTGCTTTCCTGGTGGATAAGAGCATGTTGCTGCACCTCTTTGGTATCTGAGAAAGTCAGAAGGCAGATGTCACACTTGAATGGCATCTCTTTACTATGCTTTGTTTTTACATGTGTTTTCAAGTTAGAAGAGTCTGCGGACCTATACTCGCAGTACTGGCACTGGTACGGCTTCTCCCCGGTATGGATGCGCATGTGCTTTTTGAGCTCTGACGGGTGACGGAAACCTTTCCCGCACTCCACACAAATATGAGGAAAGTTCTTGCTGTGGACCGCCAAAAGGTGGCGATTCAACAACCCTTGTTCAGCTGTCTCATATTCACAGAATTTACACTTGTGCATTTTGTTGGCTCCTTTCTCTTTATGCACCATTTTGTGAGTAAACAAAGCCCCAGCATGAGAGAAATGCTTCCCACACTCATCGCATTCGATGGCCTTCTCTGCCTTGCTGGTCAGCTTGTGGCTCTCCAGGTGGTTGTGTAAACTTATCTTCTTGTTGGTAGTGTAATCACAGTCAGTACAGCGGTACTTCTTCTTGGTAAGGTGTTCAGGATGGTTTTTCATGTGCCTTTTCAAAAAACCTCTCGACTTAAATTTTTTCCCACAAATCATGCAAGGATAGACAGTCAAGGGATGTCCATCAGGGCCAATAATTATTGCTAGGAAAGGAAAAGAAAGGAGCATGAGTGATCAAACCAGGTTCCATTTGGGTTTCTGCAAGCATTTCAAGTGTGTGTTCGGAACGTTATTAGGCAACCATTCCTACATTAAGCTATTTGCTACGTAACAATGCTTCTACCGTTTTTTCAATGTAAGAGGCAGAGCAACCCTGTCATAAAGAGAACCCTGGTCTGAAAACTTCATTCAGTCTGGTGGTAACTAACCTCAGTCCCTCCAGTTAAAAAAAAATCAATCAATAAATACGTAACTTCTGCCAGCTAGTGATCAAAGCTCTATCAATTTAGAAATCGGCAGAAAAAACTTCATAAAAATCAAGTTTTGTAATCACAATTCCTACTTTGGTTATTCCGAAAAACCTAATTTTGTGTCACTCGACAGTAAAGCTTAAATCTATGAAAATTTTAATATGCAAATCACCATCCACGAATAGACAGGAATAGGGTCAGGTAAACTGAGGTACTTGTCCTACTGCTCTGTAAATTAAGCCTGCCTTAAGGTAACATGATCCAATTCTTTGCGTTAATTTAGGTTTTAAAACAGTTAATGCTTATAACATGTCTGAGGGATTTCTTTTCATTTCCACATAAAAACCACCCGAGTTTTGAATTTTGTTCCCCCATCCACGTTTGATCCATTCCTTGTTTCTTTTTATCCCAGGCAATCATTCATGAATATCACTGAATTCTTAAAATTATATTTTCAAATTCCACACACAAAAGCTACATGTGGTCTAGCAGCTAAAATGCCATCACAACACCTCTGTGGATACATACTAGAGTTTCATCTGAGAGCTCGCCAAGCACGCTGCGCTGTGGGACTTGTGTGCCCTCACCTGTTTGGTACTGCCTGGAATCAGGTCTTCTCCTTTTCTTTGGTTTTTGTTTAGCCAGTCTGCCGAGCCCAGCAGACTCATCTATGTGCAAGAGGGCACTTGCAGTGCCATTCCGGGTTTCAATTCCATCAGAATTATTACCTAACAATGCGCATTAAAAAACAAAATCATACAGTATTATAAACTATAAAAAATTAGGGATGCTTTATTAACCATAACAATGAAAAGTAAGCCATGATACTCATGAATGACAGAAAGTCCCCATTCTAGGTAATGGGTTTTAGGACCGCATTTATTATAGTGAGACAGCAGGAAAGGCCTTGCTTCCAAATCTAAAAAACACATGTCAGCATTTTGTCCCATGAACTCCCGTGTCATCTCCCCAAACTGTAAAGTCATGGGCCAGACAAGTTCAAGATGAAAAGGTTCAGCTTGAAAGCCTGTGTACTTCTTGCAGTACTTCCTTCTATGTAATACACACACAGAGGAAATTCCTGTTATAAACAAACACAGAAAGTAGACTTTATCATCTTAACTGTCCTCTTGTTCAAATCAAGTAACCCTTACAGGGTAGTGGTGTTTCCTATTTCAGACACCTAAGGCCGCAGATACTGTTTTCAATCATGAAGTCCCACTTGCGAGCCAAGTCCATCTGAAGAGCCAGCCGCCAAGGGACTTACCGTAAGCTGCTGCCCAGGCTATTGGCATGAAGGTTTTGATTTCACTGTCGTCGATCTGTTGCTCGTGCGCTGCAGCGGCTGCCGCCGCCGCCGCTGCATCCTCCTCCCCTACGATCACCTCCATATACACTTCATCAGCGATTTCCGCGACATCTAAGTAGGAAATTATATCAACTTTTGTGACCACGTTTACAGAGATCACAGGAAAGGCATTTTTATTTGAATTCAGGTAATAGACAAGTAGAAAGAAAGTTCAAGTGTTAGACACCTAGAACTTTTACAGAGTCCTAAGCAGGCAACAAGTATTTGTTGAACGAATCATTTGTTTCTTGGCTTTCACCTTAACGTGTTTGTAAGGCAACATTCTATGCATCCACAGAGTTACTGAGACTGCCCTTGAAGGCACACGGCAGCATAACAATCTCTACAATAATGCCACTTATTTTCCTTTGAATACTGACCGTATTTAAAAAGAGAGCTACAGAAACATAAGACTTTCTCCCACAAAAAGGCCACCTACTTACTTAAATCTTCATCTTCTTGCTGAGAGTCGTTGACGGTCATATAAACCATCTTTTCCCTTGGCACACGAATACTGCTATTCTGATCAAGTAATTCAACTCCATGGTCATTCTCAGGCTCACTCTCCACAATGTCTACGGTGCCACCTATCAGGGAAGATGACAGCTCTGAGAATTTATCTGAAAACTTCATTTCCACCCGTTTGCCTTAGTATATTTCATATCCTTTTCCATAGCTGCATGAAAATCCTTATTTAAAAGTTATCTTCAGACAGGATTTCAAAGGTCTGTAATCTCAACCAGCCAAAAGAAATCAGGTTGATGTGCCTGATCAGGATGCATAATATGGTGAAGATTTCCTCTTACCTAAGTCATCCTCTCCAGGGTCAGCTTTAAAAATGTACACCTTGATGACTTCAGGGCAAGTGCCATCCACCTTACAAGGATCAATTTCCGACTCTGCATCCATGGTCATTCCAGAGGAACCATCATGTTCTATTTTGCCAGCATCATCCACTGAAAAGGCAGGAAACACATTACAAATAACAACAGCAGATAGTTAAATAAAATGTTGTGTTCTGAAAAGTCCTTTTTACAAATACCCTAACAGGATTCATACAAAATGGGATGATTTTATCTAGACCAGTAGACACATGGGGCACGGTGGGAAATGTGGTTGACTGCTAAGCCAAGTGGCGGGGGGGTCATGGAGGCCCTTGTGCACCAGGCAGAGGGGTTCAGACTTGACAATGATAGGTCAGAGGTTTCTCAGTCTGGTCAGGTGTCAACATCTCTTAGGGAACGAACCAAAGAACACAGGCTCCAGCCCGCCAGCACCACAGAGTTAGAATGTGTAGGGGTGAAGCCAGATACGTGGAGAGACTTAGAGATTCTGAGCAGAGACTTTTCAGGAGAGCAGTGAGAATGGCAGATCGCCATTTTGCTAACACCATGGTGACCTTTAGAGAAGAGGATGCCAAGGGACATAAAGCAAGGATACCACTCGTGGGTCTACCGCAAAAATGCAGGTAACACCTCCCACCCCCAAATGCAGGCAACAGAGGACAAGGCCTCAAATCAGGACAGAAGTAGGGCGGATGGGGAAGAAGGCGGGACTGGAGCCCTGTCTCAGGACTCATGGCAGGACCCAAGAGTGAAAACTGAATATAACAAAGGAGCCAAGAATAACTATGGGGTTTCTGATTTAGGTGATCTCTCTTCCTACATGGCTAATTAATTTAAGGTCTGAAAGGTAACATCCCTAAAAGCTCTCAGGCTGGTGCCTGTCCCAATTCTTCTATATTCACAGCACGCTTTGCTTGCTTCTCTCCAAGTACAAAGTTCACTGTACTGTCACTATCAGAGACTTTCCCCCATCTTCCCCACTGACAGAGCAGAACCTGTCACTTTACTCATCAGTCTTTAAAGACAAGAGTCTGGTAATAGCAGATGCTCAGAATGTGCATGAGCAACAATTCAATGAATGAGACAGGAAGACGGTTGCTGGATATTTGAGTCTGAAACTGTAGGCCGACACACAGGTTTGGGAAACCTAGTAAGGCCCACGGTAATAATGCAGCGCACACCCAAGTCAAGGAGAAATGTCTGTACGGACTGTAATCACCTGGAAGTCACTGAGGCTCCTGGTGAAAAGCAGTGTAGTGAAGGCTACACACATATATATGGGGTCATATTAAAGTGGGGTGAGGATTCAATGGACGGTGTGCATTTCTTCAGAAAGTCCAATTTTAAAATGGAGAACAGAGGGGCAGTAACTAGAATGGGGCACAGGGTTAAGGACTTTTCTATTTAACTGATAAGAATACTTAAGCATATTCAGTCTGTGGGAGCAAATACAACAGAAGGGAAGAAGCTTAAGCCAGAGGACATGGGAAAACTTCCGGATCAAGATCTCAGAGGAAAAGGGGAAGATGAAATTAAGAGGCTAAGACGAAGAAATTCCCCTTACGCAGGGGGAGCAATGTGTTACCCTTCTGAGACTCGAGGTGGTAAACACGGATGCGAACACGGCCATGCCGCATCAAGGGGGAAGGCTGTCACGCGGGGAGCTGGAGGAGTTGGTGGCTGGTGGCTTCAACCGTGGATATGAAACTGGAGGCAAGGGCTTGGGTTACCAGGAGAAAACGGCAAACTGGGTGAAGAGCGTAAGAAGCCGGAGAAAATGAGCTGATCCAGGACAAGCTTCACAATATGCAAGTTCAGAGACCAGGTGGTTAAACTCTTTGTGGTTTGAAAAAACAGAGAGGTTCCCTGAACTCTGCGCATGACTACCTAATTCAAGTATCTTGACCATGCTTTATAAAAATGGTTTGCAGGGGGGAAGAACTGGCATTAGGTCCTTATTTCTGGCCTGCTATGTACTTACTCTTTTTCAAAGCTAAATAGTTTTAGGACATACCCAGCTGACTGAACCAAGGCTGTTTTCTTAAAGGTAGCTCTGCAATTTCAAGGTGAGATAGAGATTACAAGGATGAAGAGCCCAGCACACTAGCTGCAGAGGCCTGCTTCAATCTGTTGTTACATATTCAGAAAACTCATCTCTGAACAGTTAGATACTGTTGATGAAGCTTGCCCTTTTTTGGACAAGGTTTGGCAAAACTGATTCTAACAGATACTGGAAAATCAAATGTCCTTGTGTTTACAAAGAACAAGGTCAGGCTGGCTGTTCTAGCACATATTAGTCTGTTGGTACTAATAAGATGAAGCCTTTGATGACGGAAAAAATCTAGTCGTTTTGGAGCCTGCAAAATGTCACGTATTTATCTATAATTTAGAGCAAAAGACCTTTTTGCTTGCTTTCGTAAATATGTGGGGAAAACACATTTCAAATATACAGGCTCACCTGAGCCAAGCCAAGCTATTCTATTATTAGACTAAAGTAGAATTCACCTCTGGGTTTTCACCTTGAGAATGTGCCCCACACTGAACTTATGAAATTACTCTGAATATGAAAAATTACAAAAGTGACTTTAGGGGCGCCTGGGTGGCTCAGTGGGTTAAGCCGCTGCCTTCGGCTCAGGTCATGATCTCAGGGTCCTGGGATCGAGCCCCGCATCGGGCTCTCTGCTCAGCGGGGAGCCTGCTTCCTCCTCTCTCTCTGCCTGCCTCTCTGCCTGCTTGTGATCTCTCTCTGTCAAATAAATAAATAAAATCTTTAAAAAAAAAAAAAAAAAGTGACTTTAAAAAAAAACCCACTTTGATGGTCCTGGTAAGTACTCAAAATTTCTCTGTGCTTTTAAAGCTATCATTAAAAATGAACTTCTAAAAACAGACAAAGAAGCCTTGGATAAAACTGAGTCATCATACGTATGATTTCCGCCTAAGTGCCTTCTCCTAATGTAGTGATGAAGGCCTAGAGCTCTAGAACAAGGCCTCTCCAAAATAGAAGAGCATAATTTCTGGAAATTAAGACTACTTCTAATAATGATCACCATTTGCATGGCATTTTGCTATTTCCTTAACATTTCTCTGTACTTTTATTTGATCCTTACCTTTTCCAGATAAAGAAATAAAGGCTCTGAGATGGTATGTGACTTGCCCAAAGTCAGTGAACCAATGAGTGAGGGATGGGAGAGAGAAAAGGTGCCTGTCTTTAGAACACAGACCTTTATTTTCATCTTCTGGTTTTTAAAAAAATGTATGATTACTGTATAAAATTTAGAATTTAAAAAATCACCAATAGTCCCACCAACCAGAGACTCCTTCACGATGTTAGTGAATTTTCTTCCCAGTTTTTCTATTTTTGTTAAAGTAAAATTGGCATCACAGTTTCCTCAAGCCTTACATAATAATAATCTTTACAACTTATCCAGTATTATAAACTTCAAAACTGAGAAACCTCTGACTTAGCCATGATCTCATTAGTAACAGCAAAACTATAGCAAAACATAGGCAGGACTTTATACTGCTTGAAGGGAGCTTCAGTAAATTCTCTTCGAAGACCAAAAATTGAGGGATACTTATTTGCAATGTTACAGATATAACGGTGTCTAAAAATATAGTTCATCAATATCTCAAAAAACCCAGTAGTTTCTGGAAGAGAAAAATTACTGGGGTGGGGGTGGGAAATACATCACTTCAAGTAAATTGGTTTTTTTGTTTTTAAAGAGAGAGAGAGTGTACTACCACCTGCAGCAGTGTTGGTGGGGGGCGCCGGGGTGGGGGGAGCGGCAGAGGGAGACAGAAAGCAAGAATCTTAAGCAGGCTTTATGCCCAGCACGGAGCCCAGGGCAGGGAACAGGACTCAGGTCTCAACCTCACAACCCTGAGAACAGGACCTAAGCCAAAATCAAGAGGCAGTTGCTTAACTGACTGAGGCACCCAGGCACCCTTCTTTTTCTTTACGTAGGCTCCACACATAGTGTGGAGGCCAACGCAGGGTTTGAACTCACGATCCTGACATCAAGACCTGAGCTGAAATCAAGAGTTGGATGCTTAACTGAGCCACCCAGGTGCCCTCAAGTAAACTGTTAAACGAACATTGATCTAATTAAAAGATCAGTAAAATTAAGCTGATGGAGAATCTATGTAACAAGGAAGGATGATGGTCATGATGGATAATGGTAACATTTACTGACCACATACCTCATGCCCAGCATGATGATAAGCCCTTAAAATGTAACCATTCACTCCTCATGAAAACCTTATGAAATAGGTAATACTGTTTTGTTACTTTCACTTAAGTTTCTAGACAAATTTTAGTATAATTTTTAGCAAGACAGAAAAATGTATGATATTGGATTACGATGGGATTGCATTTTGTACAAATTAACATCATAAAAATAAAAGATCTTTACCATTTATCTCTCTCTTCCTACATTTCCTACCAAATACCCCTAGACATAGGCCTCAGTCAGCTTTCCTAAAACAAAGATCCAGTTGCCTTACTCTCTGGCCCAGAATGGTACTCCATTTCCTACCAAATAAAATACAAATGGCACAGTCTAGCAATCTCTGACCAAAGTGCTTTCTGCTTTCAATCCTGTTTCCCCAATCAGGCCCTAGACTACCCGTGTGCCCTGAACTTAAATAATACATTTTTATTTCTATTCTTTTATGCTTCTTGTACTTGTATGTAATTTGTTGTAGAAATCATGCAGTTTACTGTTCAAGAAAAGTATTTTTTTTAAAGATTTCATTTTTATTTGAGAGAGAGAGCATGAGCAAGAGAGCACAAGCAGGGGGAACAGCAGAGACAGAAGGAGAAGCAGGATCCCCACTCAGTAGGGAGCCCGACATGGGGTTCAATCTAAGGACCCTGGGATCATGACCTGAGCCGAAGGTAGCTGCTTAACCCAGTGAGTCACCCAGGCCTCCCCAAAGAGAAGTATTTTTAAAGTATAAAAGGAAATTAAAATGTGATCAAAATCCTACCACTTAGAACTATCAATTTACAGATCATTATTCAGACATATTTATATTTATAAATATTATTTATAAATGTTTATAAATTTATAAATATTTATAAATATTACGCATATTTATAAATAAAAGGA